CCCTATTATACTAAGCCAAAAAAAATTAAAAATGATAAAACCAGGACCACTACATTGCCCCCGTTATGCTCCATAAGATAACCTAATTAAATATCGTTGGGATTATATACTATGTAACAATTTACTATTGTTTTAAAGTGGTCACAATAACTTCTAGCTATTAGATATCAAATTATATGGCTTGGGATATGTCATAAATCTTGAGAATTTTTTTTTTTTTTTAGCTTAAAGTTATGTCAATGACGCACTTACAACCATCTTACATAAAGAATTTTTTATACTAAAAAGTAAATAGTCTCTTTCTATACTTTTTCAATGTCTTTTAACATTTTTCAAAAGTGTAAATTCTATTCGTGCTTTCTTTAATTTTTTTAATGTAATAAGACCAATGAAAAACGATAAAAGAAATTACAAATTTTTTCTCTTTTATAATTCTAGTTTTTTCTTATTCTCATATCTTTCATGTCTATAATTATTTTGTGGAGTAAAATTAGGAGTCCAAAAATCCCCACAGGAACTACCTCACAAGATTTTTTTAAGAGAACATGTATATGGTACTCCCGTAAGACCACACTATACACTTACTCCACCAAGAAAAAGGGATATTGGAAAGACTTAGACCTACAAATTAGATTGTTACCATTTTATTTTAGCATATTAGATTGCCTATAGATTTCTTTCTACAGTAGGAGCATACTATCTATTTACTCCCTTGGTAGTAGCACATGCTTGGGATACTTTATAGATCTCAAATTTCGAAGAAGTAATCTCTAAAACCCATGCAACAATATCAACAAAAAAAGAAAAAAGAAAAAAAAATTGAAGACTCTGAAAAGAGACCCTCCAAAATTTTGAAGGGCTAGATTTAAGTGTCACAAAGCTCAAAATTCAGATTTTTCTTTTAAAAATAATCATCTAGTAATTCTTATTTGGTTCCAAAATTTTATACTAAAAAATTCCTCCTAAATACGTGGTTTGGGCGCGGGAATAGATTCACAATATGCTCCTAAGGGGCATAGTATATGCACTCTGTTAGATTTGTCATGCATATATATAACCTGACTACGGATTTTTCGGATTTTTTTGAGGTCCTAGAAATACATGGTTTTTCCTGAGGTATTGAAATCATAATAGCCAAAAGATTTCCTACTCCTATGAGAGTTTACTATCTATCTAATTGCTCGGGCGAAACTTACAGTAGCTATATCATTTAGATCTCAACCCCACAGAAAAAATATTTAACTCTCATTCTCTATGTGCCTAAAAAATTAGCATCCCAAGTTTGCATTGGAACCATCCCATTTTTGGAACGAGAGATCTAGATGTTTGGAGAACTCAAAATCTAATTTTTTATTAGTATTATTTTTAAAATAATCATCTCGTTGTAATTAGGCAGTTTCTAAAATTTTAGAGAGAAAAAAAACAAAAACAAAATGACTGTCTACTATGAGGGATTGCAGTGTCCATTTACTCCGTCGGGGAAAACACATGGGGATATTTTCAAGATCTTAAAATTATGGAGATATAATCTCTACAACTTGTAGACTAATCTCAATTCGAAAAAAAAATCCTAAATAAATTCTCTACGTACTAGTATAACTGAAAATTGAAACGAGGCTGTCCAATTTTTGAAGGGCTAGATCTAAGTATCACAAACTTAAAAATTAAAATTTTTATTTTAAAAATAATCATTTAGTGATTCTTATATGGATCCCAAAAATTTAAACTGAAAAATTTGGGCTAAATAGATATTTCGGGAGAGCGAGTAGATACATAGTACACACACGTAGGATCATAATATACGTGCAAACGATTTAGCCTGAGGGAGTAAATGTATAGTATACTCCCAAGGGAGAATAATATACATGGTCTTCATAATATATGCTCCGTGAAATCACAATATATATACTCCTGCAGGAGCATACTATTTTTTTGATGATTATGAAATGATTTTTAGTTATGTGGATGCAGCTCCATTGGAGTGTGTATACCACACACATGATGGCAGAGTATTTTCCAGAGCCTGAAAAATTCGACCCCTCCCGCTTTGATGGAGCGGGACCGCCGCCCTACACGTACGTGCCTTTCGGTGGGGGACCACGCATGTGCCCCGGGCTTGAGTTTGCAAGAGTGGAGATTCTAGTGTTGTTGCACAATTTGGTGAGGAATTATAAGTGGGAATTGATTTTCCCAGATGAGAAGATACGCATGGATCCAATGCCTGTTGCTGAAAAGGGACTCCCAATTCACGTCCACCCACATCAGTAACAGTCATGGTTGATGAGTTCATTTGTTCCAGTCGTTTGTTGTATAATTGAAGTGTTTAGTGGTTGCTTTTCTATGAAATGAATGGTCCCAATACATGTAACATGATTTGTGTACTTGTAACTCATGCTTATTCGGACTCCCAATACACCTCCACTCACATAAGCAATATGATGATATCTAAGATCACTCACATAAAGAAATCTTATATTATATGCAATATGATGATATCTAAAGTCACCCACATAAAAAAATCTTATATTATATGACATTGGTATTGATATTGATACGGGTATGTTTGATAAAACAGAATGTGAATATTCAAATTTATAAAAAACTGAATAAAACCATGGCCAGATATGAATTATATATTATACTAATATGAGTTTTTATGTGCTTGTTTGATTGTATTTTATAAAAAAGAACTAGGGTGCAATAGACATGCATCACAATACTCCTTGTGTTTATCTCTCTAATTTGGATCTAAAAGGGCAGGTATCTTCTGATCGCGGACCAAACCATGATTCCCAAAATGCAACCTCTTTCTCTCTAAGAGTCAAAAGTGCAATCCTCTCTATCCAGAGATCTCTCTAGAATTGTAGGGTATTCCAAATTCCAAGCTGGTTTTTCTTGGCCCTACAAACAAAAGCACAAGGTTCATTATCTAAGCTCTTGCATTTGCAGAGAAGAAACACTTAAAGACTTCCTACCAAGGAATAGCGTTAATTGAAGAAGTTTGCAAATTTATGATAAGGATTTGATGTTTTAAAGGAATGACGAATTTAGGCTTACCAGATATGGCTTCAATTTTGCAACATTAGGTTAAGAAAATGGTTCAATTTCAGATAAGAAAGTTAGATAATGATAATCCTAAAGTAATAGAAAAGCAAAAAATAGGAAAACAATCCCTGGCTATCGGGGATTTAAGACATATCACAATACGACATTCATGATCTCTCTTTCTCACTCTCTGGTGGCTATTTCTAGAGGAGCATTTTCTCATAGATCATACCGCGAAATTACTATATATGAAATATCATTCTCGAATATTATCATCACAAAGAGCTACCAATGCCTACACCATAAACACAAATACACAAATAAATTGCTAACATGATCGACGTCTCTAATTAGCAGCTTTTTGTGTTGTAATCTCCTGAGGTGTCCACTAATCGTGGTCTACTCTGTTTAGAGAAGTGAGGTCCTCAATTTCAATTTCTTCAGTAACCTCACCTTAGGTCTCGTCATCTGATATTGCATTTCTCAGTGCTATCATAACTGAATCTTATTTTCTCCTCTTAAGAGTCCAGATCATCTCGCCTGCTTTGTGCTCTTCTCCTCGAAATATAGTCATGCCATAACTGCTCTGATCATCTCCAGCTCCTATGACGTACTTTGCACTCTCCTCCTGTGGAAAGAGTTGTAAAAGTGTAGCTTCTCATCAAGTAAAACCCACCAAAACTTATTGATATTATACAGTGGATCACAGCTAAACATCAACCATTAAGGAAACATGTGTTTGTGACGCACTCTAGATAATCCAACATGCTAATTTCAATTGCATCAATTTGTTAAATCTGCATTTTCAACACAGCCACAAGGACCAAGCATTGATTTTATTTTATCTAAAGTTTTGTATACTAACTTCATTCAATTGCAACAGGATACAAGCATAACAAAATGCAAGGTATACGTGTAGCACAATCAAGAGAAAGGTTGAAATTTCCAATTTAATGCATGAGTAAGTAATTGTTAGGAGACTTGTACTATGTTCTTTGGGGAGGTTAGTTTATTTCTATTCCCACGTTCAAAAGATCTACTTGGGAGGATTTTTTCAATTTAAAATTTTGGGGACCACCTGAGAATTACTAGATGATTATTTTAAAAATAAAAAAATAAATTGAAATTTTGTGTTTTAAAATACTTGATCTCACTATCTAAAAACTGGGTGGTCTCTATTCAGTCTTGAGACATTTTTTCAATTGCATAGAGAGTACAATTAGGAATTCTTTTTATTGAGATTAATGTATGGGTTAAAGATATTCATCATTATCATCATGATCTTCTAAGCCTTATCCCAAGTATTTGGGTTCGGCTCGGTTAAAGAGCTTATATCCCCAAAATTTGGGGCCTAAATTTAATTCTAGGTGGGGTTTTGCCTGAGAAAGTAAATAGACATTCGACTCCCACGAGAGTAGAATATCTTTTGCCATTCCCTCATTTGAATTCAGCAAATCATACCATAAAAAAGAAAAAAAGAAAAGCACACATAGGTTTAAAAGATCTCAACAAAAAAAATAAAAATAAAAAATTAAATACCATAAATTAAACAACTAATATGCAAATATTACAGATCTATGGTAAAAACAACTAATCTCAAATAGTTTATAACTCGATCACTTGATGATGAAATTACCACCACAAGAGCATATAAACAAATATTCTCAACATTTAAAATCCAGTATCAATAGGATTGTCATATATTTTAAGTCATCACCCGATAGAGATATTTGGATGAAACCAAATGGTTATACTAATATTATTGACTATTCTGATGCTGACTGGGCAGGTTGTCTACCTAACAGGAGGTCCGTTACTGGGTATGTACATTGGTCGGAGGAAACTTAGTTACTTGAAAAAACAAAAAACAAAATGTAGTTGCTCAATCTAGTGCAGAGGCCTAACATAGAGCTATGACTTCAATTACAAGTGAATTGATGTGGCTAAAATCACTACCTCGAGATATGGGGTTCCTAACAGTCGATTCAATGGAGATGTTTTGGGATAATCAAGCAGCTATACATATAGCCTCCAATCTAGTTTTTTTATGAAAGAAACAAGCATATAGAAGTTGAATGTCATTTTGTGAGAGAAAAGATTCAGTAAAAAATTATTAGTACTCCTTATGTTTGAAGTGAATACCAACTTGCAGATATGTTTACCAAAACTATTGCAATGATAAAGTTCCATAAGATTTTATCCAAGTTGGGCTCCGTGAATATTTATGCACCAACTTGATCTATTTCTCTCTTTATCCCTTCTCTATTTTACAAGGTGGTCACAATTAACCTTGATATTTGGATGTGAAATTAAGTGGTTGCATTTATTCTATTGACCAAGCACAAAGTTCAAAACAAATTTTTTCAAACTTTGTGACACACTCAAATTTTCAAATTTCACATCGGATGGTTATAAGCAATTATGACCTCCTTCTACAATTGGTAAATGGTCTCATTGTATACAATTCCTCAAAGATTTGTAATAACATGAAAAAAGAAAGAAAGATAAGAGAGATAAATAGCTAATTTGAACAATGTTTTTAAGACTCGGCTTAGGCCTTGAACTCTACCCTCTCTGCAACAAGGTGGACTTCAATGGACTTACAATTTCTTGTTGTATGTGTTTCATGTTTTATTTATCATACTTTATTGGCCAAATATTAACACATCGAGTTTAGAGCGTTCGTGAACAACAAGTGGTATCAGAGCACTACATTCTAGACATATTTCCTCAGCAGGCCACTTGTAGTATTTTGCAGAGCTTAATGTTTTGCAGAGCTTAATGTTCTCAAATGAGAACCGAGTGCTCGTAACCACCTGTCCAGCCCTTGTCGAGTGGATATTTGGCACTGCATTGAACATCAGGGATAGGGGTCAATGCTAAACGCACGCGTAAACTCCTAATGGCTTTTTGAGGCCTGAGGTGTTACATGTATGAAAACAAATCACACATGTGGGAGTTTTATTTAACTTTTCTCTTTTTTATTTGGGCCATTGGATTGCATTTAATCCAATGGTTATGGTGTTGTAGGAACTTTACTATTTTAAAGGGATTAAAACCCTTTTGTTTAGAGTGAGAAAAAGATAGAGAGATTGGGGCTATAATTGGGTTTTCTCTTGACAGTTTGCTTTGTTTTAGAGAGAGAAAGTGAGCAAAAGGTTTGAACTCCATTGTGAGTTTGTTGTGTGCTCTGTTTTAGTGGGAGAAAGTGTTAAATAGAACCCATTTTTGGGTGTTCTTGGAATCTTGTTTTTTGACTCAGTTTAGAGTGAGAAAGGGTTGCTGGAAATTGATATTTTAAATTCGATTTCACCTTATAATCTTTTCAAATCAGGAAATAAAGTCTCTCATAGATGTAGGTCACGATTTGTGATTGAACACGATTTCATTCCATGTTCTTCTATTGCTTGTTCATATTGATATGAATGCACAATAACTGTGAATATTATAAACCCTTGCTGTTTTTTCACGTATCGATCCCAACAGGAAGCGCTCCAAAAGATCGCTAGTCGAATGGACTTGGTAGCTCGAAGGCAGTTAAAAACAAACTCGGATGGGAAAGCAGAGGTGAAGGCATATGATATGATGAAGATTTCTGCATTCTCGCTGGCCTGTAGCCATTTTGCTAGTATTGAGAGAGAGGAGGGCTGAGCTTTCTGTTCTCTTCACGGTTTTGGACCTGAAAATTCCTGGAGCAAGGCAATATGAAGCGAAAAAGAGAGAGCTTAGGAAGGAGATGGAGGAGAGAAAGGTGGCTTTGAGTGATGAAAGATCGAGCCCGAAGCAAGACCTATTGTCCTATTTACTCATCACTGCTGATAACCAGGGGTGGTTATATGAGCGATACAGAGGTGGTGAACAATATCTTGCTCTTGCTTTTCTCGGGCCATGACACGAGCAGTTCGACAATATTGATGGTTTTGAAGCATATGGCTGAGAAGCCTTACTTCTACGAGGAGATCCTCAAAGGTACTCTGTCTGTCTGTCTGTGTATTATAGGATATGCAAAGTTGCCTCCACTGTATTTTGTGTTGAAAACACAAATTGGTTTCTTCTTAATCAGGCTTTTCAAATCTTTTTGTACCTCATTTCCCCCTTTCTTTTTCCACTTCTAATGTTTTCTTGTGGTGACAGGTTAATTGTCTCTTGTCTTAGCTATATGTATTTTTCTTTTGCTCATAGCTCTAAAACTCACAGTGAGTCCCCTTGGTGTCGTCCGAGTAGCTTGGATTTGGTAAAAGATTTTAAAAAAAAAATCACTCGATTTACAATAAAATAATTGATATGTAAATAGATTTAGATACAATTCGTGTTTACAAATTTCACTATAACAATTTTCACTATACCACCCATAAATCTATGATTTACAGTGAATTTGTTGTGTCAACATTAATTTATAATAAATCTCGATAAATCGAATTACACATGTAATAATTTAAAGATTTGCAATAACAAGTAAAAAAAAAATGATCCAAATAATGTTTTAAAGACACGGCTCGGGCCTCGGACTCCGCCCTCTCTGCAAGAATGTGGATTTCAATGGCCTTAATCTCTCTCTCTAGAATGTGGACTTCAATGTCTTCAGACCCCGACGCACTTTTTAGATAAAACTCTCTCTCTCTCTCTCTCTCTCTCTCAGTTCATTCATCCAATCAATGGAAAACCATTTATAGTTTGTAACTAGTGAAGTGTTTAGTACTTGGTTTTGTATGCCCAAAGGACCAGTGATTTTGTGCTTCCCTAGTTTATTTGATTGGAGTTATATTTCTTTAGAGAAATTTTTTTAGTACACTTTTAGTTTAAACATGTTTTAATTTTTTATTTTTTAAAAAAAATAAATATGACACATTCTGAATTTTTATTGAATTTTTAATAGTGAAATTTTCATTTGAAATTAAGTGACATGAAAATTAATTTCACCTTCGATAATAGAGTACTAAAAAATAAATATAAAAAATTCTAAAAAATATGTTCATTCTTTAAGTTTTGTCTTAAATGAAATGAAGAAACATAATGATTTCTTTTAAATTATTTATGAAACTAACCAAAATATGTCTATTTTATTAACTATTTAACAATGGAAAAAGTTCATATAAAGTTGGCACGTTAGAATGTACACTTACGGTGCTCCTCTAAAATCCTCCAAAAAAAAGTTGTTTTGATGTTAGAAAAACTTCTAAATTGATCTTCATCTTGACATCGAGATGTATTAATATAGAAAAAAAAAAAGCTTATAAGTCCAAAACATAGTGCATCTTATAACACATTATTTGTACCCATCCATTTTCAAGATTTTCATGATATGCTTGTTTTGAACCAATTTTGGAGTTTAAAATTTTGTAATTAGAGAATACCATCCAAATGAAGGAAGACACCAAAGAATACGTTATTTTCAGTAGTAGATGCTTGCTGAGTCAATATCACAATTCCAACGCACTAGGTAATCGGTTTTGTCCCATATGCTTTCTGTTATTAATTGCACCAGGTAGGTCATATATACGGTTCAAGTCAAGATAAAAAGTTATATATCGGTTGGATACGGATTGGACCGGGACATGGTCCAACATTTGGGTCCACTAGACCGGTCGACCGAGCACATCGGCCAGTTATCTCAACTCATTGCAATTCAAACCTGACATGGTCGGTCGACCGAGCACATCGGCCAGTTATCTCAACTTCATTGCAATTCAAACCTGACATGGTAGGTCCAATATATGGGTGCAGACCCAGATAGTGGTCGGGTTGAACCCGTCGGGTCGGCAATTGAACCCCACCCGTTCAACCTGATTGCAACCTGTCAAATAGATGCAACCAAAAACTAACCCATAGAATAAAAATTTTGGCAGGGAAAGGGGGAGAGTTGTTTCGATTCCTCCCTCCTCTTTATATTCCTATTGCATCTCTGTACCGATGCAGATCTATACTCACCCAAGTCAGATCAGAACAATCAAAATAATTCCCTAAGATATATGCCTACATAAACAAGGTTAAGGATTCTCTTGATATATATACTTTAGACTGTTACAGGCGTGGGACTCCTGTGTGTATACAACACATATACAGGGGTGGGGTTTGAGCCAGTAATGGAGCAGGGAGTGATGATGCTTCTTTCGGTGCTTGTGATTGGCTTTGTTACTTTGATGGTGGTGTGCCGGTGGTGGTGCTGCCAGCATGACCAAAAGGGCCTCAAGCTCCCCCCAGGAACCATGGGATGGCCCCTCATAGGGGAGACCCTCCAATTTTTAGGCAGCAATGAAGGTTTCATCAAAGAGAAGACTAAAAAATATAAGACTGAGGTCTTCAAGACAAATTTCCTCGGCAGGCCACTTGCAGTATTTTGTGGAGCCGCGGGCAATAAATTTGTGTTCTCAAATGAGAACCGAGTGCTCGTAACCACATGGCCGCCCTCTGTTGTGAGGATATTTGGCACTGCACTGAACACCACAACAGGGGACGATGCCAAACGAACGCGTAAACTCCTAATGGCTTTTTTGAGGCCGGAGGCACTCCAAAAGTTCATTAGTCGAATGGACTTGGTAGCTCGAGAGCACTTTAGAACACACTGGGATGGGAAACCAGTGGTGAAGGCATATGATATGATGAAGGCTTATGTATTCTCTCTGGCCTGTAGCCAGTTTGCTAGTATTGAGCGAGAGGAGCGTCGGGCTGAGCTCTCTGCTCTCTTCACGGTTATGGTCAAGGGGCTAATGAGTTTGGACCTGAAAATTCCTGGAACAAGCCATTATAAGGCTAAAAAGGCGGCAGTTGCGCTAAAGAAAGAGCTTAGGAAAGAGATGGAGGAGAGAAAGGTGGCTTTAAGTGAGGGAAGATCGAGTCCGAAGCAAGACCTATTGTCGTATTTACTCACCACTGCTGATGACCAGGGCGGTTATATGAGCGATACAGAGGTGGTGGACAATATCTTGCTCTTGCTATTCTCTGGCCATGACACGAGCAGTTCGACCCTGTTGATGGTCTTGAAGCATTTGGCTGATAAGCCTAACATCTACAATGAGATCCTCAGAGGTACTCTTTCTGTCTGTGTGTGTATGATGAGATATGCAATGTTGGCACCCAAGAAAATGTTGCCTCCACTTCATTTTGTGTTGAAAACGCACGTTAGTTTCTTTTTAATCAGGCTTTTCAAATCCTTGTGTGCCTCTTTGCCCCTTCCCCTTTTCCATTCCTTGTGTTTTCTTGTGGCGACTAGGTTAATTGTTTCTTGGCTTAGCTATATATATTTTTCTTTTGCTCATAGCTCTATACCTCGAGTGAGTCTACTCAGACTCGTCCGAATTGATTGAACTTCTTTTGCTCATAGCAGTGAGTCTACTCAGACTCATCCGAATTGATTGAACTTGACAAATTCTCGAGTATAAACAGGAACCTGCCAAACTCAAACAATTCTTATATTTCTTTGGCATCACTTATTTAGACTCCACTGAGCCTCTGGTCCGAATTGATTGAACTTGACAAATTCTCGAGTATAAACAGGAACCTGCCAAACTCAAACAATTCTTATATTTCTTTGGCATCACTTATATAGACTCCACTGAGCCTCTGACAAACTATGATGAGTCTTTAGAGATCACTCAGACACTCTGCCAAATTCCAAATCCAAGCCTTGTTTTTGAATATGATCTTAAGTTCACAAATTACTATTTTGTAATTTATTTAGAGCAAAGGGAAATTGCCCAATCCAAGAACAAGGAAGAACTACTAAATTGGGAAGACATCAGAAAGATGAAATACACATGGAATGCGGTGTGCGAGGTGATGAGAGTTTCACCAGTAGTCGGGGGAACTTTCAGGCGCGCCATAACTGACTTTAATTATGCTGGCTTCCACATACCTAAGGATTGGACGGTAAATCACGTGTTATCTTCTTCTATTTCTTTTTATTCCTTGCTTTTTTTTTTTTCTTCCTTGATAGTTATGAAAATAAGACCCTATACTAAGCACAAGTCCAAATTAAAAATGATGAAATTCGGATCAAAACATTCCCACTTTATGCTGCATTAGATAACCTAATTAAATGTCATAGGGATTGTATACTACGAGACCATTTTCCATTTTTTCAAGGAGGTCGCAGCCAATCCTAGCCATTAAATGTCAAATGGGATGGCTCGAGGATATCACAAAGTTTGAGATCTTTTTTACATTTAAGTCAATGACACACTTACAACCACCCTATTTAAAACCAGACGGATAAGAAAGAGTGATTGTGATCTCCTTATCCCAAAAGAAACAGGTCTCTTTATATATCATCCCTCATAAACGTATGATCATGGGATTGTCTACAAGGAGACTATTTATTTTTTGTATAAGGAGGTTACTATCATTATTGTCTTTTAAATTTTGAAATTGATGGTTATAAGAGTGTCATCATTGAATACATACAACAAAGTTCCAAAAAAAATTCTTAGACTTAATGACTCACCCTAACCTTCTAATTTGACATCTACTTTGTGGGAATAGTTGTGACCTCTTGGTAGTAAAGATAAATGGCCTCTATACAGACAATCTATATTATCTTTGGGCAATTATGAAATGAGTTTTTGTTAATGTGGATGCAGCTCCATTGGAGTGCGCATACTACACACATGACAGCAGAGTATTTTCCAGAGCCTGAAAAATTCGACCCCTCCCGCTTCGAGGGAAAGGGACCACCGCCCTACACGTTCGTGCCTTTTGGTGGGGGGCCACGCATGTGCCCCGGGCTTGAGTTTGCAAGAGCCGAGATGCTAGTCTTCTTGCACAATTTGGTGAAGAATTATAAATGGGAATTGGTTTTCCCAAATGAGAAGATACACATGGAGCCTTTGCCTGCTGCTGCAAAGGGACTTCCAATTCACCTCCACCCACATCAGCAACATTCATGATCTCTCTCTATCTTTCTCTCAAAGTTAAGGTTGCTGAATAACCTATGAACCAATCGTTTGCTATATAACTGAAGTGTTTAATGCTTGCTTTTCAATGAAATGAATGGTCCTAGCAAGTGTAACATGATTTGTTTACGTCAATGCAGTAAGTGTAACATGATTTGTGTACTTTTACCTCAATGGATGGTAGGCCCATCTACGAATTCACTCTAGTGAAGAGTTTCAGGTTTCTTTAAAAAGATTCAATGTCCATTAATCAATACGAATAAACAAGTTTGTCTTATATAGACAAATACAGATGATAAGAGTACAAATAAATCACGGACACCTATACTATACCAAAATTAACCATAAAATACAACTTATTGTACCTACCCTAAACCATATATATACTTATTACAATATACAATTTTCTTTTACACTCCCCCTCAAACTCAAGATGCTATGAGATAGAGCAGCCTAAAATGTGGAAACTATCAATTGAATCTTCAAGTGCATAACATGACCAGTAGAAGCAATGGTTGCCATGCTTAGATTGCACAGAAAAACAACAGGACATGTGGCTCAAGCAACATATCAACAAGTTAACAAGCCTAAAAAACAGAAGAATTGATAAGAGTAGGTTTGGGCAATAGACAAAACCTTCGTATCTTCTTTAAAGAAAAAAAAAACAGTCGGGTCAACTGAGAAAATATAATGATACTTGAAAAAGCCAACAGAACTCAATGAATAATTGTGATCGGTTTAGTAGCTTGCAGACAAATAGACATGATCGAGTAACAGAACAACATACTCGATCATACAAAAAAGAACATGATCGAGTAACATTGTAACATACTCAATCTTATAGGCATAGCCACAAAGAAGATGAATCTGGCTTTGATACTATGTTACGAGTCTCAGGTTTCTCTGAAGAGACTGAATGTCTATTAATCAATATGAATATTGTCTTATATAAACAAATACAAATGATAAGAATAAAAATAAATTACAGACACATATACTATACCCAGACTTACCACAAAATATAAGATATTGAACCTACCCTTTCAACTCAGCCACAAGGACCAAGCATTGATTTTATTTTATTTTAATTTTTGTATGCTAATTGCAATAGGATACATGACAAGATACCAAGGTATTAGATATATGTGTAGCACAATCCAAAGATAGGTTGAAGTTTATAATTTAATACATGAGGAGCATAGATTACTTCTACTCACTCGTTTACTTTGGAGGATTTTTTCAATCTGAAATTTTGGGATCCATTGAAGAATTACTAGATGATTATTCTAAAAATGAAATAATAATTGAAATTTTGAGTTTTAAAATACTTAATTTCACCATCTTAAAATTGTGTGGTCTCTATTTAGTGTTGAGACATTATTTTTGTTAAGTGCATAGAGGGTACAATTAGGAAATTTTTTTATTTGAGGTTGGGTTAAAACGATTTATTATCATCATCCAAGCCTTATCCCAACTATTCGGAGTCGGCCGGGTTAAAGAGGTTACATCACCAAAATATGGAGTCCTAAAATTAATTCTAGGCGGGGTTTTGCTATAGTGAATAAATAGTATTTGTAGATATAAAGTATGTGTGCAGCACAACAATATGTCCAATGAGTAACTAATCTCTCTTATTCTTTATAGTTAACAATACAGAACTGATTAATCTATTCAATCATTCAAAGAAAATTGTTTCATGAGGGCGGGACCGCATTTCCACATATGCAGTTTAGAAAGTATAAAGCATTCATCTTAAAGATGAATGCAAATAGATGTTTCGTCTAAAAATAATGGAAACTAACAGTTCAAATATTTTATTTACTAGAATTATTATTTTTAGATTTTAAAATTTATTTATATTTTCATATTCATGATCTCCATGTTAGAGATTACATGCCTGTAAAAATTAAATTTTAAAATCCATTTGAAAAATAGATTTATTAAAAGGCGTGCATTTCTGCATATTAGAGCTTGGTTGCATAAAAAATGGGTCCATCATTAAATCATATTAAGAAATAGGTACATGACAAATTGGGGCATCAGTGTTAGAGGGGCTGACGTAACGTGCCAACCACCATTGACATGTAGAAAAAAAAACAGAGGTACATGGACAAATTCTAAACAATAAAATAAGAGGAGGTCAAAATAGCAACGCAATTGAGTGTGGTTAGATTCACCTTGGAATCTTTTTTGATATGGTGAGAAAAACGCAATTCGGTGCTTTTGGTCGATTTAAAAGAAGATTTTAGATTTGTTTTATATTTATTATAAATAAATTAGATTTTTATATATAAAAATAATAAAAAAATAAAAATTTCAAAAAAAGAAAGAAAGAAGAAGAACAAAATCGGTCCGAAGTTGATTGAAGCGACAATACCAAGCTTTGTTTCGCTTCGGTTTAGACCTAAAATCCGAAGGGCTGAAGCGAAGGAATTTGACAACATTGGCCCGATTTGAGTTTTTCAATTCGTATAATTTAACAATCAAACAATACCCATTACTCTATTTTAACAAATCAAATCACAGATAACTAAATAAATAAATGATAACGCCAGAGAGTAAAATCAAGTATAAAATCATAGTCCACAAAATAAATTGCAAATTACAGCATTTAAGAGCTTAGAAGTTGTAAACAATTGAAAAATAATTTTCCACTTCTTTTCTACCCAAAATTACCACCTTTGCAAAATAAAATTAGAAACCATGTAGCTTTTTCCTTTCTTATCTTTTAATATAACAAGAACAAGATTCAAACCCATTAGTAGACAAACACCAGAAACTTCTAAAATAAGACGTATCAAATCTAGGATTAGGATCTCTTATTTAATGGAATGACTTCATTGGAAAACTCAATTACAAAAATAATCAACAAATCACCACAAAGGTTCCCTCACTCGAATGGGTTCATTCACAAAACCCAATGCAGCAAATCATATCATAAAAAAAAAAGCACATATAAGTCAAAAAGATCTCCAAAAAAAAATTAAAAAAACATGTTAACTGCCATAAATTAAAAAACTAATACTCAAATATTACAGATTTATGGTAAAAACTGAAAATCTCAAATAGTTTATTACTCAATCCTTTGATGGCGAAATTACCACCACAAGAGCATATAAACATTTATTCTCAAACATTTGAAATTCAATATCAAGGACCCAGCCAAGTTATGTACAGGATAAAAAGCAAAAAGAAGTAAAAAAAGAAAATAAAAAATAGTTAAAAAAAAATATAGTTTGTAGAAATCATTAGGAGATTAGAGAAGTTGAAAAAGAAAACAAATATAAAAGGTGGATTTCTAAATTTTTTGATTTGGACCTAGAATACTTTAGAATAATGTTTTAAAAAAAAACAATAAATTTATAGGTTTCTAAACTTCATTCTAACTAATATAATATTTTTTCTCTTTTCTCTGCTTTTTTTTAATGTTTTTTATTAATTTTTTACCCCTTTTCAAGGGTGGGCATGTAGATGATAAAAACCAAGGTCTAGAAAAATAAAAGGGAAAGAAAAATAATACAAAAACTTAAAATAAACAAAACACAGAAATATGTTCAATCCCTCCCATCCTTTTTCCTAATTTAGATACACTTTCTTCAACAATAGGATTTAGTTTCCCCATAATATGGGAAACACGTGAGTTCAAAACCCCATATCATTAATTTTTAACTGTAGGTACATAGACCAATAAGACCATAAGAAAAACCATCTACGAAAAGTTTAACTAAAGTTGTTTTTGCCGGAATTAGTCTATACTTCACATGTACACCTCGTAGATGTGTAAATGACATATACTCAGCCTTTGTAGAAGACATAGCCACCAGATACTGCAATCTCATTAACCAACTAACTGCACCACCTGTCAAAGAAAAATTATATCCGGTAGTCCTACTTATATCTTAGTCATCTGCATAATTTGCATCAACATAATAAGAAGGATCCACTTCAACAAATGCAAGCTGGCTTCAAATAAAGAAGGATCTACTTCATAGCGGTCCAATGATTATGACTAGGATTGCCATGTATTTCCTCATAACTGTCATTGCTTGTGTTATGTTAAGTATGATGCTAACCATAACAAAGATGAGGCTCCTTCCTGCTGATGAATATGGTACTCGAGACATGCGTGTCCTCTCTGCATCAATATCAGGATATTGTTTGAGACACAACTTCATAACTATAAGAAATGAAGTACTAACTGGTTTAGCATTCTGCACATTAAAGTGTCATGTACTCTTATGAGTTAACCATATTTTCTTGCATGTCTTGTCTCTAAATAGACTCTTCTGTAGAATCCGATTAATTGCTCATAAATCTTTTATAAAAATTACGTAGCCAATTGAGCTCTAAGTGTTGCAATATTCTCTTTATTTGGTCATGCGATATCATTAGTGTATAAATCACCATTACCATTAGCATTATCATCTAAACCTTATCCCAACTATTTAGGGTTAGCTATACGAATTTTATTCAGTCATTCTACTCTATCATGGGCTATATCCTGAGAAAAACCACAAGCCACTATGTCCCTTCCCACTGCTTCCTTCTGGGCCTTTCCCTCGTCCTTTTGGAGCCTTTGATTTGAACCAAATCACTACTTCTCACCGGTGTTGAACTAAGTGGATGTTGTACATGGTCAATCGACCTAAGTTTACTTTCCTTCATATTATCACATATTGGGGCCACCCTTAAGTTCCTTTGGATGTATTCATTTTGACTTCTATTCTTTCTTGTCTTGTGACTAAATCCGTCTCAATATCCTCATCTCAACTACTTCATTCTTATATATGTTGTCTTTTAACTGCCTAATATTCTGCCTCATAAAAGTATGGATTGTCTTATAGTCATCTTATAGAACTTCCTCTTCAATTTCATTGGTCGAGAATCACGTGAAACTCCAGACGCATATCTCTACTTCGCCCACCCAGCTTTAATTCTCTTCATTCTCATGGATTATCGACCTCATATATCGAAAACAATCTTTTTTAGGTACTTCTTGGCCATCGATCTTAACTACTATCTCGTTTTTTACTTTTATTATTATTAAATTTATATTCCATATATTTTGTCTCCCTACAAAGTTCTAATGATGTTATCTCTAGTCTCATCAATCAAA